TATCTACAGTTCTGCTACTTTTAGCTACTGTCTTTCTACTTTTAACTGTCCTGCTACTTTTAGCTACTGTTCTGCTACTTTTAGCTACTGTCCTGCTACTTTTAGCTACTGTTCTGCTACTTTTAGCTACTGTTCTGCTACTTTTAACTACTGTCCTGCTACTTTTAGCTACTGTTCTGTTACTTTTATCAAACATTTAGCTACTTTTTAGCAAACCTTTTGCTACTTTTAGCTACTGTTCTGCTACTTTTAGCTATTCTGCTACTTTTAGCTAATGTTCTGCTACATTTAGCAAACATTTTGCTACTTTAGCTAGCCTTTTGCTACATTAGTTTTAGTTAACCATTCTTTTACTTTTAGCAAACATTTTGCTATATTTAGCTTTGAGACAGCCTTTTACAATTTTTCATTCAGCTACTTTTCTTCTACTTTTAGCTAGTCTTTTGTCACTTTTAGGTTTCACCCACTGATCAGCTACTCTTATCCTTTTGCTATGTTTAGCTTTAAGCTAGCCTTTTGCTACTTATTGCATGCAGCTAGCCATTTGTTACTTTCAGTTCTTTGCTAGGTTTCTGTTAATTTGAGCTCGTCTTTGGCTACTTTTAGCCAGGATTGTGCTACTATTAGCTAGCCTTTGCTACTTTCAGTTTTAGCTACTGTTCTGCTACTTTTAGCAAATATTTTGCTGTTTTAGCTATCCTTTTGTTACATTTAGTTTTAGCTACTGTTCTTTTACTTTTAGCTAGTCTTATGCTACATTTAGCTTTGAGCCAGCATTGTGCTACTTTTAGTTTTAGCTACTGTTCTGCTACTTTTATCAAACCTTTTGCTACTTTTAGCTAGCATTTGCTACTTTTAGTCTTAGCTACCGTTCTGCTACATTTAGCTTACCTTTTGCCACTTTCAGTTCTTAGCCACCTTTCTACTAGTTTGGCTTTGGCTAGCTGATGCTTGCTTCTTTTAGCTTCATCCCTCCTGCTGCCCTTGGGTCAAAATGACTCCAACTGATTTTGACCCAAGGGCAGCAGGAGGGTGATCAGCTCAATCTCAGGTTCTTCTCATTAACCTCCGTTTTGTTCAGTAAAAACTCCTGAAGCTCAAAATGAAATAAAAATTTAGGTTTTCAAAACAAATTAAAATTTACATTTGTATATTTACACACAGATTTAATTTATCGAGGATAATATTTACGGCAGAAATAAATCAACGCCACATCAGTGTTATAATTTAAATCGGTTACGTCATAAAGACATCATCATTTAGTTTTATGTTAAAGCTAAAACGTGTTGAGGGTAAATTAGCAGCACACGTGGCGCTCCACCTGACCTGCTGTGTTTATATATTTTAAAATATAAAACAATCACATAAACGATTAGATGGTTGATAAAAATGGAGAAACTGTTATTTTGTTAAGCTAAAAATAAGCGTGAAAATTCCCAAAATGACCAGAAAACGTGAAAATCATGAGTTCAAAGGAAAAATAAGAAAGTTGATGCTGCAGTTCATCACTTGACCACCAGAGGGCGGCAATGTTTTTAAAATTATTATTGTTACACAAAGTCACTTTAAAAAAGACAATATTTAAACGAGTTTATTAAAGTTCCGTGAACTACAGAAGAAATTAAGCGGAGGGGGGGCTGGTCTCATTTTTAGTTTTCAGTTTATTGATCCTTTTTTTAAAGAAAATAATATATTTGTTCACGTATTATTAATCCCTCAGACGAACAGCGTGCCAAGTTTTGATCGCCTCTTTGACCCAGTCGTCTTACAGGAGCAACAATCATATTTAATATTCATGAAGCCGGAAGAACAACAAGCAGCCAAAACTTTTATTTTCTCCGTCATGTTACCGTGGAAACGGCAGCTTCTGTTTTAGAATCAAGGCTGAACTTTAGTGAAGGCGAAGGAAGAGAAAAAACATTTTCTGTCAAAATTCAATCCTAGAGCTGAAAGACTTCAGAGAAAACTGCAGAAGAAGATGAACCAGCGCTAATACAGCTAAAAGAAACAGAACACTAGCTGATAAGCTAAATAAAAGCAGCAAAATGTTAGCTGAGAGCTAAAAATGGTTAACCACAAGCTACAAAAAAAAGTGGCAAAACGCTACAAATATATAAAAACTTAAATCTCATAACTAAAAGTAGTAAAACACTAGCTAAAAGTTACAAAAAGGTAGCTAAAAGCTAAAAGATGCTAAAGAGTAGGTAAAAAAATAAAAGTTGCATAGTCAGTGAAAAACTAAAAGTATCCAAAATGTAGCTAAAAGATAAGCAAGTAGCAAAACAGTAGCTTACAGTCCAAAGTCACAAAAGATGCCAAACGCTAAAAGTAGCTAAAGACTTGATAAAAACTAAAAGTAGCCAATTTGTAGCTAAAAGATAACGTATCAGAACAGTAGATTAAAGCCAAAATTCACAAAAGATAGCTAAAAGTAGCTAAAGACTTGATTAAAAACTAGAAGTAGCCAAAATGTAGGTAAAAGGTAAAGTAGCAGAACAGTAGCTTAAAGCCAAATTTCACAAAAGGTAGCTAAAAATAGCTAAAGACTTGATAAAAACTAAAAGTAGCAAAAGTGTAACTAAAAGATAAGAAAGTAGCAGAACAGTAGTTTAAAGCCAAATTTCACAAAAGGTAGCTAAAAGTACCTAAATACTTGATAAAAACTAAAAGTAGCCAAAGAGTAGCTAAAAGATAAAGTAGCGGAACAGTAGCTTAAAGCTAAATATAGCTAAATATTAGGTGAAAAACAAAAATCACACAAGGTCAGCTAAAACCAAAAGTAGCAAAAGGTGGCTAAAAAAATAAAGTAGCAAAACAATAGCTTCTAACTATGAAATAAAAGTAGCTAAAGAGTAGATAAAAAACAAAGTATCAAAAGGCTATCCATCCATCCATCCATCCATTTTCTTTACCCGCTTATTCCATTTTGGGTCATGGGGGTCGCTGGTGCCCATGTCCAGCAATCACTGTGCGAGGGGAGGGGTACACCCTGGACGGGTCGCAAGTCCATCACAGATCAAAAGGCTAGTTAAAATAAAACAAAGTAGCCGAAGAATAGCTAAAAGCAGCAGAAATGCTAACAGATGTCATTTTCACCTCAATGATGTCATCGCCAGGATCCTGAGAGCAAACGTCGACCTTCTGTGTTTTAAACTGTTCAAACGTTTTTATTAAAGCAGCCGAGGAGTTTAATCACGTTGTCACAGCCGATGACAAGTTCTGGACCGTTAACACGACTTAATTAAAGTTCGCCGCGCCGGGCTCATGATGGATTCAAGTCTGTCAGACGAGCAGAATTAGAAGCACGAGGCGAGGAATTAAGGTCCAATCAGGCTTTTTGAAACAGCTGCAGAAAGGTTACAGGACCAGAGATTAACGAGATCACAGCTCGCCCCGGGCAGAGGCCGAAACGCTGCGGAAGATTTGATCAGATCCCAGAGTTTAATTTAAACCTGGAGGCCGTGAACGCTGCGACGCCAGGCCTTCGAGAAGGAACGTCAAAATAAGACGAACGATGAGACGAACGCACAAAACTCTTGAAGCGGAGACAAAAAGACGAGCCGGCTGCGGATCAGCAACGTTTAGAACGGGTCCGGTCGTGTAACGTGCTTCAGAGGCCGGACGGTGAAGACATCAAAGCTGCCTTCACCGTTTTCACCGTCACTTTTATAAAAACCACCGTTCCATGTTCCCCCCGAAGAGCCGACACGCGTCCTCGCAGGGCGGAGAAGCTACAGAACACAAAGGCTGCAGGTGCGTTCATCAGAAACAGGAAGTGCATCGTTTGAAGTTTGTACATTTATCAGGTCTTTTTATCGTCTTCTGCCCGACGTCAAAGTATCACGTAAAAGATTTCAAGGTTTAAAACGACTAAACTCAAAAACAACTCAAACTCCGTCGATCGTCGTCATCAGAAGATTCTAAAACTGAGACGAGGGGCAGCGCGTCGGATGAACTGATTTAGTTTTGACTTCAGAGACGCAGCTTCAGATCCTGTGGGCACGAGGGGAACTCACCTCCACAACTTCCATCTAAAACAACAGCTCCTGGCCTGCATCCAGCTGCTCTTCCTGTTTAAAACAATCCACTTCCTCTCTGACTTCCTGCCGCCGACCTTCAGATAAACTCCGCCCCCACCACAGTACGTTACCAAGAATCAAGTGCACGTCAGGAATCGTTGGAAAGAAGGAGAAAGGGGCTAATAATAGAGATCAAGTTGTGAGGAAAGACCTCAGAAAACATGGAAGTACCAGAAGGAGACTCCATCGGTCCATCTTCTGCTGCCCATCTGGACCCGGGTCGCTCCAGAAACTGCTCATGATGGGACCTCCAGGACTCCCAACAGTTTTGTTCATGAGCAAACCAAACTTTAACAAAGTGACAAATCGTGAATTACGGGAATATTTTTAACGGCGATCCCTGGGGGAGTGGTGGCTCTGAGGTAAGAGAAGGTGAGCATGTCAACGGAAGGTCGCCGGTTCAATTCCCCGGACCGACGTCAAAATGTGGGTGGGAAAAGTGAAGCACCCACACCTGCCTCCATCATCCTTTGCCCCACTCTGGGCCTTTGAGCAAGGCACTTAACCCCCACCATCTGCTCCCCCGGGCGTCCTAGCTGGCAGCTCTGCTCCACACAGAGAGCGGTGGTTGTCAGGAAGGGCGTCCGGTGTAAAAACAATCACCACTCTTGTTCGCTGTGGTGACCCCTGAACAAGGAGCAGCTGAAAATTTTTTATAAAATGTAAGGGCGATCTCTGCTTTGACTCCTGGGTCTTCCTCGGGACCTCCTATCAGTGAGAGGTGCCTGGAAAACCTCTAAAGGGAGGCGTCCTAATCAGATGCCTGAACC